CTAATTAATTCCATGTTGAAAATTAATGTCAGTTTATCATATATGATTTTGAAATACAACAAGCAGGCTTATATATATGTATATGCAATTAGCCCCAAACATTCCTGCACAAGAAGGCAAGACAATCATGACTGTTACCAATATTTAGATAACTAGACAAGAACTACACTTCATACATAACCTAATACACAGGATGCACCTGAAGATATATACTGCTACACGAGTAACACACACTAATCTTATTATCAGCGAGAGTAGTTCGTTTCTTCTATCTACATGATGTCTCTACACACTGAACAACATATCACAATATACCCAGTGTGACTTGTCTTGGTCCTAAATGGTTGCTAGTTAATTCACTGACAATTTTGTAATTCACTGATTTTGAAAATTCAAAAACAATCTGTAGACACAACTGTGAAGATATTAAGAATACTTTCAATAGCATCCCAACACTCTGATTTCCATTTCAATGGCAATACAGGATAGTATCCTACATTTTCAAGGAATCTGCTTAGCTTCCATATTTTTCACTCTAATTAATTAGTAGTGTTCAGTTTACTTGACATAACCTAAATGAGGAATCACAATGACAATAAATTATGTAATCCTTTCCCGTGTCTCTGTGAAGGCTTTCCAAACATTCAATCTGACCACACTGGACACTGGCTATGTGGCATTTAACTATTACCTACAGATTTTTTTGCCTGGATACATATTTTTCCTATTTCAATTTTTGAATTAAAAAAAATCATTGGTTGACTAAATTGTACGTTTCATAAAGTCTTACATTTACCATAGCTTAATTAAAGTGGCAAAAATGTTTGTGACTGAAACAGATCTTCTAGAACCATCATATGCAATTGCATACAGGATGATTTTAAGATTGAAATAGATATGCATGTGGATTTAATTAATCATACCTTTTAATTTGGATCACAATAATATCTTCTCAAATTTCACTGTTGCTCTCAAAGTCATAGTGGCAGTTTACAACAGCCTGTTGCATCCTGGGATTGATAGGTCATTGTTAACTAAATCACACGTAATGTCTTGCCCTATATCTGTGTGTAGACAATCTTTGGATGCTCCAGAGCCAAACTCTTTCGTATTTGCTATCAATGTCTTTGAAACACATCAATGAAATAAAGGATTATCTGTGTATAATTCATTAGCAAACTTTATGAAATGTTACTTGATAAATTGCCTTTCATTGTCTGTTAAAGCAACAAACTTCGCTCAACATAACGGTTACCAAATTGTAAGAAAGTGTGTGACTTATATTACGGTGCAGCTTATATATGGATCAAATAAGAAAACTCATTAAAAATTGACTCTGCGGCTTACATTTGCAGTGCAGCTTATAACCTGGAAAATATGCTATATATATTTATTGCAATGTTTTAAGAATATTTTTCACCGACTCTCGAGTTTTACAACAACCTTTGCCTTCATTAATTGGAAAAGTGTTGCAATATATGCATAAAAAATTGGAAGATAATACTTTTCATTTTTCTTCTTTTTAGTAAAGCATCTCCACTTGTGCAACAGCCTCTTTTCTACTTAAAAACAGGGCAAAAAACCAACAAACTAGGCTGCCATCTGCTCATACATTTGCACTTTCAAACTCTAGCAGCCATGCAACTGTATATAAAAGCGGATACAATGATTTATAAATGGTGACACTTCCTGAAAATAAATTTCAGAACGCATATAAAAGAAAGCAAACATCATGCTTGAGGCTAATGGAGTACATCTTATATGTGTGTCTGGCCAAGGTCTTTCTTCACTAATGCAGAGGAGAATCAATTGATATTTCATTGGAATACCAGAAAAGGTACCTCATTTAATGTAATAAACACCCAGGACATGAAATTTTCCACAGAGGTGGCATTCAATAGAACACACAATTTTCATACTTTGTCATTATGGACATAAATAGTAACAATGTAAGATTACGACTATACGGACAGCATGGTTTCCTTTGAGTTTATGTTTCTTATAAAACATTTCAACAAACACTTTGCAACATGTAAGAAACTGTAATTTAACATTAACGATCATATGTACTTGCATACAACTTGTTTACATACATATAAAATGACACAAAGCTGACTGTCAAATTAATCAACAATGTTAACATCCATGTACTTCTAATGATTTATCAATACCATCAGAATTTATTTACATATGCAATTTCTCAAATCAACACCATGTCAAGAGTTCAAAAAAATTATAGTGTGTCCTTTTCAACTGAAAGTGACAACAAATGTAAACATGCTGCAGCAACAGGGACGAAACAGAAGCAAGCTTGGTACCAAATCCAATAAAAACAAAAAACATAGCCAAACATCCAAATGTTGCAAGGTAGGTAGACAACCTGTTCATTATATATTGATAAAAAGCATATGACATGATTACCAAACTAATTTTTTTTTAAAACCCAAACAACTTTCTTGACACTACCCTACAGCCCTCCCTACCTTTCACTTAATTTCTATTTTTTACCATGATTGTGTAAGTTTCTTTTTTGTTTTAAATTTAGACATTTAAATTACATTCCATGTTGAATGCAGAATCATAGGTCCCTACAGTCACCAAATATAAACGATATCTGTGTTATTCAGGGTAGCTGTACAGAAAATGAAGGTGAGAGTGACAGCAGCTAGTATGACAGTCCATGACACTTAATATTTGAGCTTACATTTCCACTTTTGTAAAGAGAAATTGCCTTCATTTTGCAATTGCCATGACAATTGTTTTTTGTAATTACAAAATTGTACATTCAACTGCACATGTATGGAGATTTATTTTTTTACCTCATGGTAAGTAACACATAAGGAAAAATCTCTTAATGAGGGGGAGGAGGCAGTTTGTGTCTGGGTTATCAGTCAAACACTAATTGTGGATACACAAATGGTCATTTACATATACTTGCTGTACATGTATCAATATATCACTACCCTTTACATGGTCGGAGTTTTGATTTTCAACGATGCTAAATCTCACCAGGATGAAAAGTAGATGATCATGCAACAAACACATTTTTTGTCATTTCTGGTCCACCTGCTGGAGTGCTGTAGAGTTTTTTCTAGTAACATTGGTTCAATTGAAGCATATATCTAGAACTAGGGGATCAACTAGAACTAGAGCTGAAAGGAAAAGCTGATTTTGGTATTTGAATATATTCGTTTCATGTATTTTACTATATGGATGGTCATGCCAATTATGTACATACATATACTATGCTGCATACCAGTTTATCCGAGTAATTGAAATTGCTTTATCTAACTTATAAATTGGAAAAAATGTTAGAACTTTCACACTGAATTGAACAATATAACATCCCTTCAATAAGAAGTATGGGAAACATACTGAAACATCTGAATTCAGAAAAGTAGTTAAACAAGACACAAGGCTGAAGTTTACCCTGCTCGTCTTTGTTGCATCATTAAACAGTTAAGAACACTTCGGCTTTCAAATTTAGGAAATAATCTAGTTTTGATGTACAATGCATTGGATTTGTAAATCTGTGCCATACAATTACATATTGTACTTTAAATGCACTTATATGTGCTGAAATAAAATGACAAAAGAAACAGTTCACATGGTGAATTTTTATCAGTCAGCTGGGCGCTTGTAACGAACTATGTTACACTCTGTAATGCTATGTTAGCATTACCATCATTTGGACATTCATTACATCGACATTTGTTCCGGAGATGACTACCTATGATAACTGCCAATCATAGCTTACATTCAGCTGTACATCCCTCTGAATTCAAATGAAAGTGTTCCCAGACCTCGCTTAAACAGTGTTATATGTTAGCAAAATGGGGGGGTAAATTGTACTGAATATCCAAGTACTTTTTCACAACATTTGTGAATGTATGAGCATTTGTTTCAGCTCTATCTAGTACATTACATCTTAACAAAATTTCAAGACAGGCACAGTTGCGGAAGAATGATCTTTACATGAAGGTCATCAACTTTTTGTTGACTTCCTTGTAAACTTCACTGATTCTTGAATTTCCTGATGTACTTAATGATATCCACTTGACTCTATGATTGCACAGTACTTTGAATATTTATAGTATTTACACCTGAAACTATCTGGATTTTTGGGTGGTTAGCTGATATACGTAAAGCTGGTGACTCCACAAGCTCACATAATTATAAGGAAGTGAATTTCATATATGTTATTTACAATTCTGTTCCTGAATGCATGAACAGCCATGGCTAATTGAATGGAAAATCTGAATCTCTAGCTTTATCATGATTATAAACAATATTTCATTATGATCGCTATGTAGTGTAGATGATGAAATAGAAAAGTAGTACTGCATATTGATATTCCACTACCAATGGCTTGACAAAGTTGACCTGAGCAAATGATCAAAAACATTTCTGAACCATTGAGGATTGCCATTTTATGATATTTTCTCAAAATAAAAGGACCTTCATGGACTGTCAGTTCTGTTGATCTACTGTCCTAGTTATCTGATGTAACATTATATCGTATTTTATCTTCTTTTAACACAAAGAAATGCATTAGATGTTAATCTTAAACAAATGACCAGAGGAATATTGGAATCATATATTATGCAGCTAATTCTTCATCAAAAAGGTAAACATACAATCATTTTAAAGTATTGATTTCGTGAATTAACACTAAGTCAGTCAAAATGAACTTAACTCATGATATGTCCATGACAATGTATTGTGGTTTACCAAACTAGGTCACCTGTCAAATGTGAACCTTCGTCCTTGGCTAGAAGCAAGAAGTGCATTGACTTTGCACAAAAAATCCATCATATGCATTGATGATTGTAATTGCAATCAGTGAATTAAGGTATGCAGCAGAAATATCCAAGTACAGAAAATTAGCAAGTTCTGACGTTTGTTTTTGTGACTGACATATTTTCTTCTGTTGTGTATTGGGTTGTGTATTGTAGCCACGGGCAGTCGCTTGTTGTACACAGTGATTACATTATACTCACCAAATTCGACAAACTCCGATATATTTTTCTCTCTTCGAAGAGTGGAACTGCAGCACTCATCGTATAGAACAATAAGGACATCGAGGAGACTCTCAAGGCTGAGGGTTTGGCCATTGCTATGTTGCACCCCTCCAACATACAGCTGTCCGAGCCTCTTCAATCTCTCCTCGGCAGACATCATGACTGACTCACGAACCAACACATTAGTCAGTCGTCTGCTACCTCCTCCCTTGTCGTTTCCTCATCTTTGTGAAATGTTCACCAACCAAAATCAATACAGAGAGCTTTAACTGTACTTAGCAGCGGAAGGGCACCAACCCTAATTTTATCACAATGTAATAGATTCCAAAGCAAACCAACCAAAAATGCTCTTTTCTCCTACTTCCTTCACAATGTCAACGCTCGTTTGCACTACCTTTAGTTCCAAGCTCAAATCCAAGTAGTTAGTTGCACAGAATGATTATTCCGGAGTTATTTCGACGTCAATACATAATGAAATAAAGCTTCTACTTCCCGTTCTGGATCTGTTAATTAACCCATGGATCGGCAAATTTCCTACGAAGATGTCAACATGGCCGACCGAAGTTATCAATGGAGAATTATGGGAAATGGTTATACGCAGGCGTCTGTGATGACGTCATTTTCACATTATGATAATATGCAGAAGCCTTCTGTTTATATTTTCTAAAATTTCTCTAGTTTTCTGTCTTTTTAGTTTTATGATGGAATTAAATCCTATATCATTACAGTAGTAAATATATATTTCACAGGCTGAAATAATGCCCAAACAATACATCGACTGATAAAAGCTACATTGTATACATATGTGCCTGCTACATGTACTTGAGGTGTTCGAGATATCGGCCAATTTTCAATATGCTGTATATAAAGAAATGAAATAATCACACTTGAAGAAATTTTTTAAAAATGTAGTGTTAATAGGTATTCGTGATATTTCAGCTAATTGAATGGGGAAACAAATAATATGACTTATAATACATAACATCAATATTGCGTATAGTGGAACATACACATCTTTAATTTCACTGAATTATCAGTGTCTTTCAAATTGCTCATCAATTATTGGTAAAATCGTCAAGTTAGTAGTACTTTTGCGGACTTAGAATTGAAGCCCGCGGTACCTGATTATAATTAATTCTAAACATATACAATGTATATATTTACATGTAAGGAAGTTCATCTCGCTGTACCAAGACCTCACAGTTGTAAATGGTGGGTGTGCCAGGTCTATATGCGGACGTAAAAATGACATAATAAAATCACGCCATTAAAGAAAACGATTATTTAGGTTTCACACTTGCGAGCAATAATAGTTTTAATACATAATCCCTCACTTATCCAGTGAATTCGCCCAAGTACTAGCGCATGTGGCACTAATATGTCAGTACCGGGTGCGTTTTTCTAATTTGGCTGTGCTAACCAAAAATGGATTGTCATCAAGCTGACAGCATAACATCCTACTGATTTCAAAGTATTGCACTGCCGAGAGTCAAATACTCCCTCCCCTCCCACCCCCTACTACCCTACACCACCACCACTCTCTAGCTTTCTATTTTTTTATGTATACATAAATATATAGACGGATGAAACAAAGTTCACACAAAAAGTTAATTTACGTGTCATAATTTGGACAATTACTTATAAAAGGGTTTCCCGATGCTGATTTTGTCGCCTATATTTTTCACTTTGAAACCCGTTAATGTAACTTTTCTTTGTTGCATGATATCATCGATTTCTTTTCACTTCATGGAAACTCGTCTCGATGTTTCAGTTATTGCGAGCCTTCTAAAACTCTCACATGAAATGAAAACTTATTGAAGATCCTATATAGTGATAAATGACCTTGCATTTTTTCTTGCCAATAAATCAAAAATAAATAATTAATTCAATGGAAGTTAGTAATGGTCCAATGCATTCTCGTGTACACCAACTTTTATTCAAAACGAGTAGATATATTTTCTGGCGTATAAATACGACCAGTCTCTTTGCAACTGTGATCAGACCTATCTTTCTTGATACCATTTTAACAGTCTTATAATACTTTATATGATCTTACATTGGTATTAGACATATGGAAAAGGTTTCAGACCTTATGGGATGGAACTATTTCAAACCCGTTTTTTATGGATATATATATATATATAGGATATATAATCACTACAGTGATTATATATCCTAAAAAATACCCCCAATATGTTCTATTTTCTCTTTTATGACGTCATAAATAAAAGTTAAAATTAATTACACATGATAATAACAGGTTCCATTATATGCCGCAAATTAAAATGTACATATCAACATATGAAATCTACAAAGTAGGATTAAAAAAATCAGCTTAGAGAATTATTTTTTCCAATTCAGCACGACTTGTATAAACTGTATATTTCGTACCAAGTCTTCGTTTTTTTACAGAATTTTATTGTCCATAGTAAACACGGAGTATTGGAATGTATAGATATTGTTGTTACTTTCGTTGCGGCTATTGACGAACAACGAAAGGTTCGTTTCAACAAAAACAAGTGAAGATCTGTGTCATTAGTTATGTTGTATCCAGGAAAGGTTTTTTTGTCTTTTGCCATTAGAATGACGTCATCTTAGGTTTAAACCTCAGAAGAACGTATCCATGGATATTAAAATGTACAAAACATTTAATAGTCATAAATAAAAACATTTCATTAAACAATATGTTAATATCAAACACACAGAAAGGGCATGTGTGGACACGTGCGTATCATGCGACAATAGGCCAGGATTTATGAGCGCGTAATAAGCAGGGCAAATTTACACCCTTCACTGTATTAGTATTTCAATGCACGTATGTGCTTCATATTTCAGTGTGTTGTAAAGTACATCCTGGTAGCATATTCTGAAGTTGTTTCAAGTAGGGTGCAATATAAAGGAGTGTCATCGTTCTACACAATCTCATGTAAGCATTTTAAACATTTCCTTGACACACCAACATGCTCGTGCAATCAGAACATCGACGATGAGTGATAAAAAATAATCTATCAATATATATACATTTAAGTCAGGATAATTTATTCATTCAAAACTGGACATTCAGGAAACTACAAACTCTTCTACATCAACTGCTTACCCCGATCTTTCTCTACAACGAAACCAACGGACACAGCATTCCACCAAGCTTGTATGATGAATAGGGTGATTTCAATTTCCCCACTGTGAATTTTCCATTTCTAGACAGCAACATTCCCTTTTCCTAAACCTACTGGTTTTTACCTGTCGTTAATCTGGCATTAATATCGTGCAGATTTCGAGCGTTGTAGGTTGACGACGATTATGAAAGTTCCATGGACGTCATAAAGGTTTCATTCGGAAACCACGTTTATATTTCCTTGTGCCGTCGGAACGTTCGAGGTGTATGACGCCCGTTAGTGCGCCTTTTGTTTCCGTTGATAATTTTGCTCTACTTTGAGAACGTGACATTACCAATTTGAATTGACCAAGAAGCACAATACGCTTACTCCTTCAGAACACATGGACCTATTCGCCCTGTACTTTTTATGAGTCTCCATGAAAATCCTTCCTTTATTTATATTTTGATATTTCATCGAACTGGAATCTTAATTTTGATTGAGGCTGTAAACGGTAAACGGAGGAAAAGGGGGAGAAGAGTTGCATGTGCCGTTAAAAAAAGGTGGGGGGGGGGGGAATTAGAGGCTGTGTAAACTGGAACGTGAAATTATATAATAATCTAGTCAAATCTTTTATAATGTATGATATCGTTGTCTATACGCATTGCATTGCACGCTCATCGTTACCGGACAGAAGTAAATTGGTTGTGATTTAGAAATGATTATGGGCCGAGGTAGGTATTCAATAAAGGGTGATATTTCTTTTTTTTAACACAAAACACTTATTCATGATTATATTTGCAGACTGCGAAGGTCCGTTGGGGCCTTTGGGTCAGCCTTCATAAACAAATTGTGTCCCCTCACATAGGGGCTCTCACACACCGCTTCACACATTCATGCTTCAAATATTTTACTATGTAGTTACATAAATAATTGCCATCTATAATCACTGTTGATAAATACAATAGATACAAATACTATATACAGACTTAGTTATCACTGCACACACAACTACCAACACTCAATGTATAGAATACACACACTCACTGATGCTATTTTCTCTTAACACAGGTATGGATTAACACACATATACACTGGCCTACACTTGTTCACACAACCACAGATTCACACACCAAAATATGCACTGATCACACGTTATATATTAATAATGTGCATGTACTCCTTTAAGGGAAAGAATATACAATCTGGGCCTGTATAATCATACTATAGTTTAACCATATGTACAGCTGGTACCTGCATCTTACACACACTCACAGCTCATGCACACATACAGATTCTCAAACTCACATGCACACACATACATCACGTTGAATGTCATATGTCCTCTTACATTTGTACTCACTAGGGAAAGAGTCCAGCCACGACAAAATCTTAAGAGTTGGTAAATCACATGGCAAATATACACATATTAAATGTAAAAAGCCTGCACTTAACAATATTCTATGATCAGGATACAGTGGTTTACTTTTTGGAGAGGTACAAGATAGCTTAAATCTAATGCTAAAAATGGTGAATATTTTAAGTCTGCTAAAGTTAATAACACATTACACCAAATTTTGTTTTTTTACATTTTTTGCTTTCTCCCTCAACTTTCCTTTACTGCATCCAAATGAAAGAGCATCTCAGGATCTATGTTCAATATGTGTTTTAAAAAAAGATTTCCAGCCACTATCTACATCTGAATAGTATATCTTAATCCATCTAACTTTCATATATTTACTAAAAGCTAAAATGTGTTTACAATACAGTTATTCTGCCAATAATAGTTAAATCTCGCACTACCAAAAGTCTTAACATTTTTTCAACCTTCTAATTCAAAGTATGTTCATAATTAAATTTCATCCATCTCATCCAGATTCAATAAGAATGTGATACCTAGAAGTCTAAAATTAGGGTGATATTTCTGTTAAAATAAAACAGCTTAACTTGTATTTTGTTTTTTAATGTCAATTTGTCATAAGATGTAGCACAATCGGTTTGATAATCATTAATTTTTATAATGTTTACTTTGAAAAGAAAAAAACACAGGAAGGCTGGTAACTCTAATTTCTTCACTGTTTAAGACACATGTATATATAGAGAGATGTAGACAGTCTCATATTCCTTCATAATACGCCCC